AAACATACACCATATTACCAGGAAAGATTCTTATAAAGTTGTGTTATAAACATTTAAGCGATTGGACAGAAATTTAAACTTAACTCGTAGCGGAAACGACATGGATTTCTTAGATCAACGTACATGTATCACAGTTAGCTAGTGACCATGGTCACTAGCTAAAAGCTACAAGCTTAATTGCGGTACACTTTAGTCCCCGTATACCCAAAGCAACGTTTCCAAGTTTGCAACATTCAAAAAATATATTATTTACTTCATATCTGGAAGAATTGTTTATGCGTAAAATTACCCACCGCGCAAAATTCCCCCACCTTCCCCTAAAGCTTCAACTGAATTTTATCTTTATCGAAAAATCATTATAACTTTTAAAAATTTCAAAAATCACATGTTATGGGAGTATTAAATATTTTTACATTGATGCCGAGATATGAGGCGCCGTTTGTGCCATAATTATGTTGCTAATATATATTTATTTTTGTTTGATTATATATATATTTTTTTAATTTATTTTTAAATTTACTTAATATATTTATTATTTTACTTAAAATATATTTATTTTTTAAGAACAATATATTTATTTTTGTGTGTTAATATTAATAATATTATTAATAATATTATGTTTTTTTTGACATCTGCTAATATATATTTGTTTTTTTGACAGACAATTCAATGTGGCAACGTTGCATTGTCATTTAACCCGTTGTTCATAGATGTCGTTGTTGTATTAAGTTTATTGATACTTTACCGGCAATATTTTTTGAATTTTTGAGGTTAGATTCCATTAACGACTTTGTTTTTATTTATAAACGAAAGAAATAGTGAAGACGGTAAATTTTTTGCGGTTATTTAAAACAGGTAAATACCCAATAAATTTTTTTTTATTAATTTTCTGGAATATTTTTTGTTAAACCGAAATTTTAGTAATAATGGAAATAAGTAGTCCAGAGTTGCGTAGCACACTTGTTTTGAGTAGCCACCGAAAATTCACCGAATTTTTCTTTCGTTTTTAAATAAAAACAATCGCTGATAGAATCTAACCTCAAACATTCAAAAAATGTTGCCGGTATCAGTAAACTTAAAACAACAACGACATCTATGAACAACGGGTTAAATGACAATGCAGCGTTGCCACATTGAATTGTCTGTCAAAAAAACAAATATATATTAGCAGATGTCAAAAAAACATAATATTATTATAATATTATTAATAAAAAATAAATATATTGTTCTTAAAAAATAAATAAATTTTAAGTAAAAAAATAAATATATTAAGTAAATTTAAAAATATATTAAAAAAATACATATACATATTCAAACAAAAATAAATATATATTAGCAACATAATTATGGCACAAACGGCGCCTCATACCGAGAGGTATGCACAAGTTTTGTTGTTAGGAGTATAAAAGCTTTAATTTAATTTGAACCATATTCAACAATTATTTATTATATCTATATTTAAATGACCATATTAACACACTCTTCCAAATAATCCAAAATACTTATTTATTTTGATCAAAACAGATTTTTCTAACCTTAAAATTTTAAAATTAGATGATATTTTTTGTTATAATATATTAACCTACCTTTGATACAGATATTCTTATTCCATAATAGAGAAGCTAGATTTTTTTAATAAATGCCGTTTAGTTAAAACTATTTTATGGGTAAAACCAGATATATGTAGACCAAATGCACAAAAATTTTACTTATTTGGCACTATACACTTTAGAATTTCATTAAATGCAGTATTTATACTCCTAAACACTTAAACCAACCATTGTTACTGTGATACTATAAAGATTTATAAACTTTTAACGCTTAAACATAACGCTGTGGCTCCCGTCCCGAGGCGGGACTTAAGTTCAGTCCCGATTGACGTCATAATTTTAAGATTTATTAAAATAATAATAATAAATTGTACCTGTATACATGTTAAGGGCACTTTAGTTACGTCATAAAACCAAACCAACCCAAACTCAACAACACAACCCAACCGACCCCGCCCCATTGGGCCCCCCGCCCCATTGAGCAAAAAACCCAACTAAAATGGGCAAATTTATGTTACGATAAAAATAAAACACTTTTAAAACAAAGAAACAACAAATTTATAAAATAAAAAAAATAAAAAAAGTTTAACAACTTCTAGTGGGATCGAACCCGGTACCTCTCGCATGCCAAGCGACCGCCCTACCATCTAAGCCATCGAGCTTGACGCAAATTATAAAATCTCGGGGAATAAAAACGGATTTACAGTGTGTGACGTCAATCGGGACTGAACTTAAGTCCCGCCTCGGGACGGGAGCCACATCGTAAACATAAACGGTAACAGTATAAATATTATTTCTTTCATTGACTATACTTTGACAGTTACATAACCTTAAAAGCATTCACTGACAAATTTTCATGATATGATATCGAAATTTTATTAAATCCTTGGGAGGACAATATGGGGCCCACAGCACATAAAAATGTTCCAAAAGAGGGATGGTCGAAGTATTTCAAGATTGATGATATACGACCAAACAGCCATGTAGAACCTGGTCGTTTTTTTTTCAATTTTCTTTTGCCTTTGGACTTCCGCTGCCTATATCGTCATCGAGTTTGTGTTTAGAATATAAAAGTGTATTAAAAGTTACTTCCGCTTCGCGATTTCTGATTTTGTTTATGGTTAAATGTTTAAGTGTATTGAGAAGACGTAGGTATTAAGAACGAACTGAAATAATCAAATAAATAAGAAGACTAATTGATATAATTTAAAAAAATAGGTAAAGTAATATAAAATCAAGAAGAAAAGGAGAAGCAGTCTTTTTTTATTTTTTTTTCCTATAATGACCATTACCTATAATGAAATGTTAAATAAAAATTCCAGTTTCTTTAAACAAAGTTTTTGTTTTTGTTTCTGAAAAAAATACAGTCGCTGTTAACTCAACAAAAAAAATCATTGGATATTTTTGGAAGTGAAAATGTGATGTGAAAGATTATTTTTTTAAATAAGTTTGATTTTTATTTTATCATGCATGGATTCAAGAAGATTTTTGAAAACGCCGCACAGTGAATCGCGGTTTTTCTCCTGAGCTTTGGCTTAAAGCCAATATGGACCTGGACATAAATCGGTATTTAACGTATATGCGCTTTGAGTCACAAACGGTTAAATTAAAGATAAGGTTATTTACATAAATTGAATCCATTTAAAATTATGAGGCGCTTTTAATAAAATCCAACAGGATTTGAATTAAAATTTAACTTTTGAAATAATTGTAAACATTAAAAGTGTGGTCTTTTTACAAAACTTTTCCTGTTATGGATTTTTCTTTAGATGGTAAGTATTTTTTGTTTCATTTACATTTTTTAACTTTTATAGTTTTTTGTATCCACAATATGGATTCCAAGATTATCCAGGCTATTTTTTATTATGATGTAGCTACAATCCCAAGCTGTAAAATAATATATATTTACATACGACATCGATTCCAGATCTTGTTTAATTTTTTTTCAGATCGTATGCTTTCAGTCAAAAATTAATCTATTTAAAGAATGGCGAAGACATATGAAAACAAAGAAATTCATGTCTAATTATTAATCTTAAGTATGTAACTAAATTAAAAGTGTTATAACAATACCGATTTTTTTATATATATATTTTTATTTTCCAAATGAATTTTTTAATTCCAAGCTTTCAAATTATCAAAAAATGTATAATAATTTGGTAAAACAACAAAATAATATTGATCACAATTAGTGAAGGGAGAATCGAATGATTTTAAGAATCGAATACTTTGCATTCGAATAGTCTAAAGAATCGAATGATCATTCGAATGCAGAGAATCGAATAGTTTGTTCCGAATCGGAACCGATAATAGCCGAAAACATTTATTGAATGAATGTTTTCGGAACAAACTATTCGATTCTCTGTATTCGAATGGTCATTTTATTTCTTGTTTACAATTCGTTATGGGCTAAGCGGGTTGGCGTCGCACTGGGTGCAATATAAATTTTAAACCGGCCAATATACCTACTAATTGATTTATGACAGGCTTTCTTTATTTTTGTCATAAAACATAAACCATATTATTTGTCAGGTTTTGTAAATATGGCCTATTTTAATAAAGCAAAAATGTATGCTCTTTATTTTTAATAAAATAATACCTTTTTATTCAAAATTAAAATCCTTAAGGAAATAGTCACCAAAATTCAACATTCTTTATTTTTAATTTGGTTGGAACGTCGGTTATATATATGTTTTATTTTTGTGACATTTAAAAAGTTTTAATAATAATTGTTAGATAATTATGTTTTTGTTATATTTACTAGATTTTAGTACATATTAAAATTAACACAAGCAGTGCTGGTCCAGCTCGATGCAAGCCGATTCTCCATGCGATACAAAAAATTAACTGTGGCGTGAATTCGAATGCAGAGAAATCTCTCGTCTCCCACCTTCCGCTCGATGACACGCAAGCGCTTTCGATTCGATTCGAATAGTTCGAACTATTCGAATACTTTGTTGAGAATCGAATGCATTCGAATGCACGCCAGAATCGAATACTTCGATTATTTGTATTCGAATAGTCCCTTCACTAATCACAATTACTATGCGGCGCGCCGTGAGATACTGTGAGCGCTGCAGCGCGCTGGTATACACCATGGTATACCATTATTTTAAACATACAAATTAATTAAAACACTACTTAAAACAAGAAATTGCATTTAGTTAAGATTTTTAAAAGCTTAAGAACATAATTAAAATTGATAGAACAATTTCATAAATAGTTGTCTGTAAATTCCAGAAGTCAAGAATAACAAGGTTTTGTTTAAAAAGTTACCAAAAACTTTATTTAACAATAAAAAATCTAATTTGGTCAAGTATTTTGTAATGTAAACATTTTGATAAAAAATAGTCATTACTGACCCAAAAATGGCACGATGTTAAAAGAGATTTTTTAAAAATTGTAAAACTATCGTAGAAAAATAATTAATTAACAATATTAGTAGCTTACCTTCTTCTAGTGTATTAATTTGAACTGTTTGGCTTGGTTCACTTAAACCAAGTCTATTTTCTGCTAAAATTCTTAAATGATAAACCTGGGATGGCCTTAAGTTTTGTAATGTGGTAGATGTTTGCGATCCTGGGACTGTTATTTTTAATGGTTGATTTGGCCACGCATCTTTAACAAAAAGAATATAATCAATCCCAATTAGAGATGTATTAAAAAAAAGTTTACTAAAAATCATCACTTTTTTTAACTATTTTTCAAATAATTTATTTTACATAAATTTAAAACCCGGGACTGCATATTAAACTATAATATGTATATGTTACGGATAATGTAAGAATCACGGGTAACCTGTTAAAGTTGAAGATTATCCAAGATTTGCGTTTAAAGTCTTTAACCGGCTAAAGCTAGGTCTAACCAATGCTAGTCGGTTAATAAGAGAAGTTTTAGTATATTTGCCTATGCAGCAATATATTATAATAATATTATAATGTAACTGTTGAAAATTTATAAAATGTGTGCTAAAAATAATGTGTGTTAAATAAAATATGTAAAAATTTACATAAACTTTTTAATGTTTATGACATAAACAATATATGTTACTTGATATACAAATTAAAATAATCAAAATTCTAAAATTTAACAAAAATAAATTTGTTAAAAGGTCTTACACAAAAATAATGTTAAATAATTATTTTCTGTAAATTTTAATATAATAATATAGTTAATATTACAAAAAAAATATGTTAATATTTCATAATAAAATATATAATATAATAATGTTAAAATGACTCTTTAACAAGTGTTAATGTAACTTAAAAATATATATTAAATTTGGAGATAAATTTTTTTTTATTCAAATTTAAACAACTGGTTATTATTTTTTCGTTAAAGTAAATAAAATATTTATGTTGTTTTCTTTATTCGTTTATTACCGCCTGCTTTGATTAAGACCGCAAGGCCTTTTGTTCTCGAAGCCTGTCGAACTTCGACAGTCAAAGCAGTCGCTTGATGAGTACGTAGGGTGTGATCTGTGGTGTGTTAATTTGTTAAACAAAATTTAAAGGTATATTTATATTATATTAATGTTACGTTTTATTTTTAATAAATAAAAATGTTCCTATTTTATATAATTGTTTTATTTTTGTCCAATTTTTTTATTAATTTATAAGTGTTTTACCAAACGGCGATTATTTGTTAAAATTGTACGTACAGTATATTACATATATTAATTTGTTTTAACAATTATTTTAATTAAATTTTACAAAAATAATTGTTTTTTCATTTTAAGGTCATTCCGGGAAAAACGTAACGTCCGTTACTGTTTAAGCCAATATCTTGAGAAAAGCTTTTTTCATAAATGCACCTTGTTTTTTATGAAAAAAGCTTTTCTCAAGATATTGGCTTAAACAGTAACAGACGTCACGTTTTTTCCGGAATGGCCGTAAAATGAAAAAACACAATTATTTTTGTAAAAGTTAATTAAAATTATTGTTTAAACAACAAATTAATATATGTTTTAAGAACAAATTATTAGTGTAAAATCAACAAAAATTTAAATGTTAAAGTAACACTTTTTTGTGTACCTAAATAAATTTAACATTTTTAATTATGTCAAAATTATAAAGATTTAAAATCAAATTAACTATTGGTTTATGTTAAAACAACAATTTTATTTCAATAAAAATAGCATAAACCTGTTTGTTAACTTTGCAGTTATGTTGGACTTATGAGTGGACTTTCTGGGACACAAGAAATATGTTAAAAATACATAAAAAATTTCAACCGTGTATTGGTGGCGGCTGGTGGATTTTATGTATACCAATATCTCATTAGACATGGGACCCACACCAAATTTATAATAGTTTATAAACAAGTTCGGCGCAAACAGAATTTAAATTGAAGTTTGCGAAAAAAAGTTAGTTTTTCATGTTGCCTCAACCGCCTCCAGGCCCCCCTATTAGAGATAATTCAAATTAAAGTGGTGCAATTTATTATCTACTATAATTTATCGACAAATTTAAAATTTTATTTAAAAAATCCAAATATTACACATTTTATTCGATTTAAAATTTTTATTATTTATTTTATTAACTTGGTGTTCTATGTTACGATTTTTGTACGAATTGGGGTTTGCGTAACCCCACCGTACCAGTTTTTTTACTTGAGTTTACTATAAATACGATTTTGTTAAAACTATTCCTGTGTATGTTTTTTAACGAATTTTAGAAATGTTTTTCACTATTTTGTAGTTTTTTTATTCTATATTTTCAGTTTGATTACTTATAGCAATTAAAAATAGGTTTTGAAGTGATTTTGTGGAGTCCCACCGTAAAATTAAATTATTGCTAAAATGTTTGTTTTTTTATTTTTGTTAAAAGTATATAATTATAATTGATTATAATCAATAAAGGTTACCCCCAACATTAAATAACATACGCGTTTTTTATTTTGATTTTGCAGAATCGCCGTTTTTATTTGGGGTTTGGTTAACCCCACCTTACCAGTTACGGGTTAACGGGCTAAAGCTACTAGGTCTAACTAATGCTAGTCGGTTAATGCCCAGAGTTACGTTATATATGCTTATAAAGCAATATACTATTAGGTAATAAATAAATAAGGTTGGTTTTTTAGTTCTATTTATGTATTACCTAATAATAATATTGTGGCAGCTGGTGGATTTTGGGTATACCAATATCTCAATTATTAGACATAGGACCCACACCAAATTTATAATAGTTTATAATGACATTAAATAAACAAGTTCGGCGCAAACAGAATTTAAATTGAAGTTTGCGAAAAAAAGTTAGTTTTTCCTGTTGCCTCACCCGCCTTCAGGCCCCCCTATTTGAGATAATTCAAATTAAAGTGGTGCAATTTATTATCTAGAGATAATTTATCGACAAATTTAAAATTTTATTTAAAAAATTTAAAATTAAATTATTGCTAAAATGTTTGTTTTTTTATTTTTGTTAAAAGTATATAATTATAATTGACTATAATCAATAAAGGTTACCCAACATTAAATAACATACGCGTTTTTTATTTTGATTTTACAGAATCGCCGTTTTTATTTGGGGTTTGGTTAACCCCACCTCACCAGGTATGTAACAAAAAAGTGACCTTACCAGTTACGGGTTAACGGGCTAAAGCTACTAGGTCTAACTAATGCTAGTCCGTTAATGCCCAGAGTTACGTTATATATGCTTATAAAGCAATATACTATTAGGTAATACATAAATAAGGTTGGTTTTTTAGTTCTATTTATGTATTACCTAATAATAATATTGTGGCAGCTGGTGGATTTTGGGTATACCAATATCTCAATTATAAGACATGGGACCCACACCAAATTTATAATAGTTTATAATGACATTAAATAAACAAGTTCGGCGCAAACAGAATTTAAATTGAAGTTTGCGAAAAAAAGTTAGTTTTTCCTGTTGCCTCACCCGCCTCCAGGCCCCCCTATTTGAGATAATTCAAATTAAAGTGGTGCAATTTATTATCTACTATAATTTATCGACAAATTTAAAATTTTATTTAAAAAATCCAAATATTACAGGTTTTACACCATTTTTAATATTTTTTTTATTTTAATAAAATAAATAATAAAAATTTAAAATCGAATACAATCTGTAATATTTGGATTTTTTAAATAAAATTTTAAATTTATCAATAAATTATAGTAGATAATAAATTGCACCACTTTAATTTGAATTATCTCAAATAGGGGGGCCTGAAGGCGGGTGAGGCAACAGGAAAAACTAACTTTTTTTCGCAAACTTCAATTTAAATTATGTTTGCGCCGAACTTGTTTATTTAAGGTCTTTATAAACTATTATAAATTTGGTGTGGGTCCCATGTCTAGTAATTGAGATATTGGTATACCCAAAATCCACCAGCCGCCACAATATTATTATTAGGTAATACATAAATAGAACTAACCAACCAACCTTATTTATGTATTAGGTACCTAATAGTATATTGCTTTATAAGCATATATAACGTAACTCTGGGCATTAACCGACTAGCATTAGTTAGACCTAGTAGCTTTAGCCCGTTAACCCGTAACTGGTAAGGTCACTATTTTGTTAAATACATAAGGGAGGTGGGGTTAACCAAACCCCAAATAAAAACGGCGATTCTGCAAAATCAAAATAAAAAACGTGTATGTTATTTAATGTTGGGTAACCTTTATTGCTTATAATCAATTATAATTATAATGCGTACATACTTCTAACAAAAATAAAAAAAAACAAAAATTACAAATAATTTAATTTTACTGTGGGACTCCACAAAATCACTTCAAAACCTATTTTTAATTGTTATAAGTAATCAAACTAAAAATATAGAATAAAAAAACTACAAAATAGAGAAAAACATTTCTAAAATTCGTTAAAAAACATACACAGGAATAGTTTTAACAAAATCGTATTTATAGTAAACTCAAGTAAACAAAACTGGTACGGTGGGGTTTTCGTACAAAAATCGTAATATCGTACACCAAGTAAAATATTGGGCTTTTTTGACACCGGTAGAATACTGACGGACAACTGACCGAAAGCTACACAGGGGGTAGCATCGTGTAAAGCTGGACAAATGGACCGAAGCAGGGTCGGTCACATGCAGGCCCGGATTGGGATAATTTTTCGGCCCTGGCTTTAATTATAAACCGCCCCTTAAACCACATCAATTTTTTATAATAATAAAAAGATCTTAAAGAATTAACAATTTTTTTAAAGAATCGCTTTTGGTGGCAATATTATTTATAATCACATCGGTATTTATATATAGAAGAATTTCTTTTTTAACGGACATCAGAAGTAATGCATCCAAGTGTTCTTGTGTAAGACAACTGCTTAGTCTATTCTGAACAAATTTTAACTTTGAAAAAGTTCTTTTACAGGAAACCTGGGTACATGACAAAGTTAAAACGTATTTATAAGCGTTATATAAATTATTGTAAGACATTGTATGTAATTTATATTCTAGCAAAACTTGGAAACAACTGTTGTGTTACACACAACGCAATTTTTGCATGTTTAACAAATAGCCACAGTGAGATGTTGGGATTCATCTTCCTTCAATATCGATTTGCTCTTTTTATTTACCAAAATCTCTTTCATCTTGTTCCATTTTTTCGCTAAATCTTTCAGCTCACTATAAAT